GGAAAAGGAAATCGGCCAAACACACACTTGAATGCACTTGGTTATGCTGAGGTTGAGAAAGGGTTCAAAGAAAGGACTGGAATTGTGGCTACCAAGGTTCAGATCAAGAACAAATGGGACAAGTTGAAGGAAGATTTCAAGGCATGGAAGAAACTAATGCTGAGGCAAACAGGGACTGGTTGGGATCCTATAAAGAAGACTATTGCAATGGATGATGAATGGTGGAAAAAGCTAGAGCTGTAAGTTGGTTCAAATTTTTTTCTATATTTGTTTTACATATGACAAATCTGTTAGTAATACTTATAATAATACCTGTTGTTCTGCTTATTTCAGGACATTCCGGGTTGTGGAAAGTTCAAAAAGAAGGGCCTTGAGAATGAAGATGACTTAGCCAATTGTTTTGCTGACATCACTACTATTGGTATTGATCATTGGTCTCCTCATGTTGTGAATGTTGAAAATGTTGATGAGACACAAGAGGAGGCAACCAATTTTGATCCACAAGATGATGATGTCATTCCTAAAACACAAGAGGAGGATATTGGTATTTCTCCTCCACCTGCAAGTGGCAAGAGATTGGCTAGGCCTGTTGAAAAAAGTGGCAAGAAGGCGAAGTCTGGAAATGCACTCCTAATTCAAGAAGCAACAAACAGTATGGCAAGTTCAGCCAATGAATATGTTTCGAAGAGACATGGAAAATACTCTATTGATGAAGTGATGTAGGCTGTGATTGCTTGTGGGGCCGGCTATGATAGCAATGAACATTACATTGCAACTGAACTGTTTGTGAAGAAGGAGCAAATGGAGATGTTCATGACCTTGCCTACTAATGAGATTAGGTTCACTTGGCTTAGGAGGAAGTACAATGATAAATATGACAAGTAGAAATGGTAGTGAGATTAGGTTCAATGGCAGTTGTATGCTATATTCTATTTTATTCCAGTTCACTTATGTATGGCAGTTGTATGCTATATTCTATTTTCTTGCCATTCATTTATGTATGGCAGTTGTATGCTATATTCTATTTTCTTGCAGTTGTATGGCAGTTGTATGCTATATTCTTTTCTTTGATTCATTCTTGTCGATTGGCTTTCTGTACTTGCAGTTGTATGGCAGTTTTATTTTCTTGCAGTTGTACGGCAGTTGTAGCTTTCTGTATCTTTCTGTACTTGCAGTTGTATGGCAATTGGCTTAGGAGGATGCTTTCTGTAGCTTTCTGTTGTTTATTTTCTTGCAGTTGTATGGCAGTTGTAGCTTTCTGTATCTTTCTGTACTTGCAGTTGTATGGCAATTGGCTTAGGAGGACGCTTTCTGTAGCTTTTCTGTAGCTTTCTATAGCTTTGTGTAGTTCATTTTCTTACAGTTGTATGGCAGTTGTATCTTACATTTCATTTATGTCAATGTTCACAGATGTCTTCAAGTGAGTCTGATGATTCTAGTGATGGGGATTTTTTTTAAATGGTTGAGAGCAGTGCAAAACTAGCACAAAGTTATCATGGATTGTATATGGACAAGGCACCGCCGAGGTTCATGTTTTCACAACAAAGTGGAATGGGATGGCTGATGGAGATGGTAAACACTCCAGGGGAGTGTCATCGAATGCTTCGGATGAATGAGGTTATTTTTCATGATCTTCATGATGTGTTGGTTGAGAGGTACGCATTAAAACCATTGAAACACATTAATACATATGAAATGTTGGCCATTTTCCTATTCACATGTGGTGGGTGTGAGTCAAATAGAAGAGGACAAAATAAGTTCAAACACTCAGGTGAAACCATTAGTAGAAAATTTCATGAAGTTCTAGATTGTGTGGTTGCCATGGCACAAGATTTCTTGAGACCAACAGATCCTAATTTCCGCAATGTGCACAAGAGGATTAGGAATGACAAGAGAGCATATCCACATTTTAAGGATTGCATTGGTGCACTTGATGGAACCCATATTTGTGTGTTTTTATCACCTGAAGAACAAGTGAGATATATTGGTAAGACTGAAATTGCAACTCAAAATGTGCTTGTCGTTTGTGATTTTGATATGCGCTTTACGTATGTGGCTGCGGGTCAACCGGGTTCTTTGCATGACACTAGTGTATTGTACCATGCATTGGAAACAGATGTAGATGTCTTCCCACATCCACCTCAAGGTAAATATTTTTGCTTATGTTCTTTTTCATATTTGTATGCACAAACTTATCTTGTTTTACATGTGTAGGCAAGTACTATGTTGTAGATGCGGGCTATTCTAATCGTCCGGGGTACCTAGCTCCATACAAGGGTGAAAGATACCACTTACCCGAGTGGCATCGAGGTATGGAACCAAATACTCCAAAAGAGAAGTTCAACCGTATACACTCATCTGTTCGTAATGTTATTGAGCGCTCATTTGGAGTATTAAAAATGAAATGGCAAATCCTTTACAAGATGCCCGGTTATTCAATGGTCACACAAAAGAAGATTGTTGCTGCTACCATGGTCCTACACAATTTCATACGTGAACATGCTAGTGTTGATGTGGACTTTGCTAATTTTGATAGAGATCCTACCTACATGCCTACTATTCCGGAAAGGTACAACAAGTATGCCGTATCTCAACATGCCTCCGAAGGATCAACTTCAGAATCAAGCTTTGTGACTATGGACACCTTTCGTGATAATATGGCTACATCCATCCCCCTAGCATGGAATTAGTGCAATGATTATTGTAATAACCTTATTTTGGAATTATGAACTTATTTTTTAATTTCGGTTCTAGTCAAATGACATGTAATTTATTATTATTTTGGACTACACTGCATGTACTTTCATTTCATATTTGTGAGAAGTAGTTCAAGTCGAACCAGGGGCAAAAATGGTAATCTACCATCAAACTCATCTTTTCTGGAGCTGGAGACACCCTCCCAGCCAAACACTCTCATCAGACAGCTCCAACTCCACCCAGAGCTGACTCCACCTGAAGTTCTGGAGTGGAGCAGCTCCACCCAGAGTTAGAGTCATGCCAAACATGGCCTTAGTTTGCGAATCACCTCTTATAACTTTACCCACTTCTAAGACTTTAGTCGAACCACACCTCGGAGGCGGCAACCATGGCAGCAGACCTCGGCGATGGCAACCATGGCAGCAGCACCGAGACACACACCCCCTGCTGCACGCCACTGCCGCGTGGCCGCGCAGCACGGGACCTCCATCGAGGAGGAGGCCAATTCGGCGGTGGAGGAGGTCGATTAGGCGGCGGGGAAGGCCGATTCAGTGGAGGCCGCTGGTGAGGCCTCGCCTCCTCTAGATCCCGGTCGGTGAGGGTAGTCCCAACTCGCCGGTCGCCGGAGGTGGTGGAGGAGGAGCGGCGGGGCGAGCTCGGGCGGGGAGGTGGTGGTGGAGGACCGGGGTGGTGGAGCTCCGGCGGGGAGGTGGTGGTGGAGGAGCCATGGAGGAGGAGGAGGGGAAGCAGGCTCGCCGGCCGGTGGGGTGAAGGAGCAGGCTCGCCGGCCGGCCGGCGGCGTGGAGGACGAGCGCAGAGGAGGCGGGGGGGCGGGCACGGAGGTGCGTACGAGGGCGTCGGGAGGTGAGCAGAGTCGGGCGTGGAGATAGACGGAGCCAGGCTAGGATAGAACGACCGGATCGGTCGTTTGCAGGAAGCCACCTCCACCGTACAAAATGAGCTTGTGTAAGCCTGCTACCAAGCCACGGAACCAAACAGGCCCAAATTGTATTATACAAGTCTGGCTAGGAGTTAAGTCAGGGAACCAAACACATCCATAAGTGCTGTTGATGGAAGTACAACTACCTCAAGTTGTGTTTAGTTAATTGTAGGTCTTACTGAAAAGACAAAGTTTCTTTTTGAATTTTTAGCAAAACAAATTGGAAAATGAGGAAAGACTGGTGATCTCAGCACAGTCCTGTGTGAATCAAGCAGTAGGCAGAAGACTGCTACATGTGGGGTTGCATGGATACTCGCAGTCGATCAATTTCACGTCTTGCCTTCTACCAAAATACCAATCCCCAACAGCCTCTGCGATAGACTGCTATGCAAACAGCAGAAGAAATTTTGAAAATATAAGTCCAAGTGAAGACATAAGAAAACAGTATGCTATTGCACTGTATAGTCCACATGATCTGAACCTCACCTTGTCACCAAGTCTTGGTGAGATCGGTGAATTCCATGTCATGTTGAATGGTGTTTGACAGTGGGTAAAGCATGAATCAATGAACAGCCCCCAGTCCTTGTTATCTTCAGCAACCTTCAATTCACTGACTAATTTCTTCTTGAATCCTGCAACACGAGGAATGAAAATCTACAGCATCAAGGAAAACAGGATCATCACCAATGGATGTAGAAAGCAAAGAGATTCACAAGCTTGGCTTACCATGTAGTACATCAATTTGTGTGCAGCTGCAGTTCTGGATATCTGCTTTGCAACTAGACCATGCCTGACCAGGATAGGATCCATTTGGTGCGAGAATGTTCCGTATCTAGAATGAATAAGTAGTTAGGGATTTAACCATTGGACAACTGGGAAGAAACATAAAGAGTGTAGTCACCTGCCAAGAATCGTAATCGGAGTTCAGAATAAATGTGGGGGTGATGATGCCCTTAATCAGTTCAGCAGGAAAGAAACACTGGGAGAAATGAAAATGTCAGCAAAATGAGTTTATAGCAACATCAAAAGCAGAATTGAATTAGATAATGTGAGCATACTAATGTTGGATCCTTCTTTTGGAGGCAGTCGTTGGGTAGAACTTCTCTAACATTCTGGAAGAAATTCATCAAAGAAGCAATCCAATCAACATATACTACCAAACTGTGTATATTTGTCATGCATCCCAGAACAGGATCTCTTGATAGTGAGTGACTGTGTGCCACGACTAACCTGAAGGTGAACTACTCCACTGATGAGTGACCGCATGGACCTTTCTCCAGATAAATCCTTCCTGTGGCAGAGAAATGTACTTCACTTAGTAAAGTACAATGCTAATTCGGTATACTAGTTTTTAGGGACTTACTCATCAATAAAAAATCCAGCATCAGAAAGGCATTTAACTGAAACTTCATGAGGAAACCGTCCACGGAAATTATCACAGTGCAGTAGCGCAGCTAGAGAACCAGCAGAACAGCCTGTAAGCAAGGCCTGGAAAGCAGGGGGAAATAAGGTTGGACGTGACTCTTGGTTAGGGCTTGTGTGGTCAAGCTTTGTGCAACTATTGGACAACCTATACGAAATCAATGAAAACCTGTTTAGCAGCATCCATTTCTTTTCCCATGAGTTCATCCACAACTGCTTCCCAGATGCGCAATCCTCTGAAGAAAAGTTTGGTTCCATCCTATACATATGCCAGTACAGCATCAGTTTGAGAAATTAAGATGGGCAGTTCAGATCAGAATTCAAAAAATTCACCAGATCTTCACCCTCTGCATCCCCAGCAAATGATCCTCCGTCGCAGTACCTTATAACAGCTATATTCCAGTTGTAGAAATCTGATGACGACTGACTAAAATTAGTGCAAAGACACATTTATCAGGTAGTAGGATCACAATTCAATTCAAAATCATTATAATAGAAAAAAGGCTAGCGCAAAGCGTTACTGCATCTGCATCAGTCCAAATTCCAAAATGAATAATTGGGACATGGAAAAACGATAGCAGACTAGTAGGTGCTCCCTAAAAGAAGCATGTTGATGGAGACTAATATAGCATTAGGAAATCCATCCATGACAGCCAACTTTTTATACCAGGATTTTCTATGTGATCATTGCTGAGTATCCCATTGAAGTTTACTGCACTCATATATTTGGATGAACCGAAGCTGGTCATTTTGCGCTCGGAACAACTCTGCGTGGTGTTGCACCAACCTCCTCCCTGAGATATATCAGTGGAAAATCAGTAGACATCTCATCCCATTATGCTGGAAAGAACTCATTTAAGCTCAAACCAATTTTTTCACCTGGGTTTACTATCTCAAAATCTTAGCAACTATCCCATAAATTTTAAATCTTTTTTGCAGATTTCAGTCACCAAAGTTCTTTAAATCATCAGTGAATTTGGAGCTATTATGGCTGGCTACAAGTATAGCCAAAGAAAGATGAGACGAGACGGACTGAGGACGCAGCGGGACTACCAGGGGAAAGCCCGCCCCCGCTAGCTAACATAGATATCTATTCTCAGTGCGCATATTCGAGATTTAGAATCTCTTTCCGACCAGGCCAGGCCGAATCGGGCCACCACTTGGGATGGGAATGGCTCAGCCCACATGCATCATTTGATGAAAGCACTCCAGTCGCCTCCGATCAGTGGCTTGTCAACCACCGGACCGTAGCTCCTCACCAAATGCCCCTGCGTTGGGGCAACACAGCACATGACTAGTTCGCTCAAGGACCACACCCTCTCGAGAGCAGGATGCCGGCCGAGACGGAGCACCAACCTAGACTTTCCTTGGGCTTGCCTTGCCCCAACATCTAAATAAAGGGCGGGCGGCGAAAAGGAAGCAGTGACGCCTTTTCGACGAAAGCTCATTTGTTGAGCTCAAATGATTTTTTATAACAGTTTATGTAATTGGCATACAGGTTATACATAACAATTTATACAATTGGAAGAGAGCATTCGGTCACCTCAAGAAAGACGAGCCAGCTGTGAGCTCCGGAACCAAAGCCTCTCCGCAGGTGGTAACCAGGCGGGCTCCCATCCAAACACACTGCAATGCAATGACGCAGGCCATGACGATCAGTATCCGGCTCCAGACGTGCCTCCAATTGGAAAGAAAAGGAGGGAGGCTACAGTTAGTTGACTGAATGAATACCCGCTCCCTTCTCCCGAGCGCCGGCGAGGAGTGTCAGGTCGACGAGCTCCGGAGAGGTCATGGACACGGGTGCCGCCACCGGTGAGCGGGAGAAGATGACAACGGCCAGGAGGAGCGCGAGCAGGGGCGCGGCCACGACGACAGCGAGGCCGCGTTGACGCTGCGGGAAGAGCGGCGACAGCAGCTCGGTCGCCATGGCCGTCGCGCGAGGGAGTAGCTAGTAGCTAGAGGAAAAGTGTGGCTGGAGTCCTGGAAACCATGCTTGAAAGCCGTGCCCACCTGCCATACCAGTTGGTGAGTGCGACTGAGTACTGGTAGCTAGGTCAAACTGATACGCCGTTTCTCGCAGAAAAAGATAGTTGAGTGGTTCCAAACTATGCAGCATAGCACTCGTCCAAATCCAAAGGATAACCAAGTTTATTATTTGTTTGACGGGACTACATTGGTGGACCAATCGAGAGTGACTAATTACGACTAGCTACGCTCCATTTTCAGACATGTGCTTCTGACCTTTCTTATTCGTTTAGATTCAAAATTTTTACATGCAAAGATTATGTCACATCGAATGAGCATTCGTCTTAAATGGAAAAAAAAAAACTAATTGCACATGAAATCGCGAGATCGAAACTTTTGAGAGGTCCATGACACTAATTGCCAAATACAAACGAAAGTGCTACGGTAGCTAAAATTCAAAAAAATTTGGATCTAAATGGGGCCTGAGATTCTTACATGTTACGCATGAGCATTCGATGGCACACGCAATGCGGATCAGAGGTGGCTATTGTGATATCTGAGGCATTCATAGGGCCCCATCTCTTTTGGATTTCAAGGTTGTTAACCTTTTATTGGTTGCCTTATCTGTATCGTTTGATTCGTTTCTGATTTGCAATAGCGAAGATCAAAACTCCGCTTATTATAGGTCGAGCTGAGTGCTACATGTGGGGTTGATGCATGGATACGCGCAGTCAACCCATTAAGTGCCTCAATTTGAGTGGAAACCAAATTCACATGTATGATACTAGTCACCAGATGAGGGTAGACAAACACAAGAGACTGAGAGATTAGGCTAACCATTAAGTGCCTCAATTTGAGTGGAAGTACAGTTTCGAATATCAGCTTTGCAACTGGCCCATGATTGTCCTGGATCAGATCCGCCTGGCGCCACGACATTTCCTACCTAGAGAGCAGTTCCCCAGCTCGTATTTTAGCCCTGTATTATACAAAAAGTTGAAGGGAAACAAAGAATGTAATTGGTCACCTGATACGAATCATAACCGGAGTTCCGAATAAATGTGGGGGTGCTGATGCTCTTAATAAGCTCAGGCGGAAAGAAACACTGCAGCAATAATTTTTCTTTTTTAAAAAACGAAACTTGGCAGCTTGTAGTATATATCAAGGTATATTGAATTTCCCTAGACAATGAGCGGTTAACTACCTCTGTCGGTTCCTTCTTTGCAAGACAGTCCTTGGGCAAAGCTTTTCTCACATTCTAGAAAAAAAGAGTGAGAAGAGCTAACTCAATATTAATTGCTAACAAGCTGCATATATGAAACGCTCTTTTTGTTGCAAAAAAATGCATCCCAAAACAAGAAAAAAGAGAGGGGTTGAACTTGAGGAAATTGACGAAATTATTCAAGATAACCTGAAGATGAACAACTCCACTGAAGATAGACCGCATGAACCTTTCGCCTGATGAATCCTTTCTGTGGCAGAAAGAGAGCTGGTACTTAATTCAGATGTACAATTCTACTAGGGATACTAGTTTCTGAAGTTTTAATTATAAGAAATAACTTCCAACCAAGGATGTCCAGAGCCATACACATCAAGAAAGAATCCAGCATCTGAAAGGCATTTTACTGGAACCTCCGGAGGGAAACGTGCACGAAAATTATCGCAGTGCAGTAGTGCAGCAAGACCACCAGCAGAACAACCAGCAAGTAAGACCTGAAAAATTGGACATGGCTCTGCTCAGATGCTGTTGTCAGATTATGACAGTGACGACATATATATATACAAAAATCAATAGCTCAATTGACCTGTTTAGCAGTGTCCATTCCTTTTGCCATGAGTTCGTCAACGACTGCTTCCCAGATGCGCAATCCTCTGTTGAAAAGTTTGGTTCCATCCTACACCAACGCCACTACATCATCAGTTGAGGATTGAAGGCAGGCATCAAATCAGTTGAATCAATTGATCTACGGCAGGCAAATGACCCCCCAAAACAGTAATTGTCAACTATATTCCAGTTGAGTAATCAATCACGAAATGAAGTTTCAAAGTCAATCGTTAAACGCCCTCTCATATTCATCCATGAAAAAAGCAAGTTTATTTACGTACAGGGACCCCCATCACAGTCAACCTCTATTGGTTTCATGAACTAGACGAACCAAGGTCATTCAGGCTGCGGCTGGAGCAATCTTCTGTGGTGTGCACCAGAAATCTGATCACAGAGCATGCAGCACAAATGAAGTTTCCAAAAGTCAATCTAAAGCAGAAAAAAGATGGATCGATCACCTCAAGATTGGGGATCATATTCGTGATCCAAAGAGCCTCTGGTTGGACTGCAGCAGACATGACGTCAGCAGACTCTAACGCTGCGAGTGCAAGCATACACCATTCAGGTAGGCCCAGATTTGAACTGAATATGAAAAAGGAAGAAGGCTAGCTGAATACATGTTCTGCACGGAGGTCAGCTTGGTCCGGCCGCCTCGGATTTTTGTCGAGGAAAACCAGGGCTCATCTTGATGAGCCGGGGCGCCGGTGCCGCGAAGGCCAAATCCTCTGGCCTTCTAGCGCCTATAATGCTAGAGACCCAAGAGCCAAACAAACGCCGGGGTGGTTGTGGCGTGGCGTCGTGGAAAGTGCAAACTTTTGTCAAACCGCGGAATGAAATAGAATGGTACTCACTCCATGAACAGTGCAACTACGGATTAAGTGTCGACAAAAGCATTCTACGTTTAACTAATTTTTCAGTAAATACTATTCGTATTTATAACTATAAATTAATTTATTATAAAAATTAATTTTATAATTAATCTAATAATATTTATTTAATATCATAAATATTAATATTTTTTATCTATAATTTGTTAAACTTAAGGTTTAAAATATAATACTGTACTATAATTGCATCTTGCAGCAGACATGACGTCAGACATCTCTAGCTGAGAGTGTACTTTACCCATTCGTAGGCCCGGATTTGAACTGAATATAAAATCAGTGCTAAGACATGTTCTGCACGGAGGTTAGGTGGCTGCTTATTTTCTCGAGGAAAACCCGGGCTGATTATAGGTGTTCGTAAGGCCAAATCCTCTACTCTAGCGCCCATAATCTAGAGATCCAAACAAAATACCCTATTATAGTTTATAATCTAGATTATTATCCATGAAGCATGTTGTGAGATCCATGGACCGTAAAATATCGCACGGAGTATATTAAAAAAGCTTATGGGTGTCTCTCCTCCCATCCTTACCACTTCGCTTCTCATCCCCTATCCCACCAACGCACACAACAGCCTCTCTCCCCCACGGTGTCCTCACCGAGAGCCCCAATGCGGGTGGGCCATGGCCCTCTCGCCACCGATGAGATCCATGGAGCATGAGCGATCCCACTGCGCCTCCCGCCGAGATCTAAGGAGGTGGCGTGGCGGTGTTGGTGGGTGGGTCTCTCCCCCCGGTGCGGCACCCTCCCACCTAGGGACGCTCTCACCTAGTGACCTAGTGGTGGGCCATGGTGCTCACCCACACCCCACCCCATCGGGCCGCCGAGCCAACCCGGTGCCATGGCGCTTGTGGAAATCAACTTGCGCCATTGGTCTTTGGTCTGTGGATGGTGCTCTCTCGCCACCGCCCCAACTCCATGTTGAAATCGACTTGCCCATGCTTCTCTCCCTTTATGTTTTAGACGTTTCAAAGGCATGTTATAATTGTTTTATATGGATGTTGCAAAAGTAGATCGGGGGATATTGGACATGTTACATATGTTGTAAGTGTTTCAGAGACATGTTGCAAGCTTTTGTTCAAACTTATTCATCTGTTTCCGACGTATGTTGTAAGTGTTTTGATCTGGATGTTGCATATGTTTTCACACATATCTTGCAACAACATGTTCTAAATTGTTTCATTGTTTTAGTCTTCTATTGCAGCAAGTGTTTTTTTAGGAAAACATGGGGCGCGCCCTACCGTGATTAATAGAAAGTAAACAAACTTACAAATTGTAGCAAGTGTTTTCATGTTGTAAGTTGTTAGTGTTTTATATGGATGTTACATATGTTTTCACACATATGTTGCAAGTCTATATTCGGTTTTAGATGTATGTTGCATTCAAGTGTTTTATGTTGCACGTGTTTCTTGCTGTTCGGAGAATCAGGGGCGCGGAAATGGGGTGCGACGACCCGATGGTCGGCGAACGTGGCGTGCAGCACGCTGAGGGCCGACGGTTGGGGCACGGTGGGGTGAGGGTGCGCCTGCGGGGGTTGGGCGAGTAGATGGGGATGGGGCGGGCTGCGCCTGCGCGGGTGGGGCGAACGGATAAGGATGGGGGCGAGGTGCGCGGATGGGGAAGGTCAGGTGTCGAGGCGGGCTTGTCAGGCATGCGGGTAGGCGTCCGACAGAATTCATCCCCATCAGACGTCCGTGCGCTAGCATTTCCTATTCCCATTTACAATTAAGATTGTAATAGTCCAAAGGTGATTCAAAGCAATCTAAATAAACAAAAAATGATATCCAATCTAGGAGTAACTTGGTGGTTTTCTTTAAGAAGAGAGATAGGCACTCAAATTCAGTCCAAGACGGAACTTGAATATGAGTGGTTGGGTGCATTGCCACACCTCTCACACGACCTGTTGTGCTAGGCTCACTTCCAAGCGATCTAAATAAACGCATAAAAAGCTTTTTATATACTCAAAATGTGTTACACAACGTGCTTGAATGACAGAATGAATGTCATATATACTCAAAAAGGGCCGGCATCGCTCGTCAGGTGCCATATCTGAATCTGTCCGACATCACAATGCGGCAAGTCGCTGAAGAATTCTGCTCAACTAAACAAAACGATAGGACTATCCTCAAAGGCTCAAACTAGCGCCTGGTCCAGAGAGGTCGGCCTAAATTGAGGCGAATACCGAATAGGAGGCGGTCCGTGGGCCGTGAACCGTAGCACGTTACCGTTCGGCCCACCGCAGATTGATCGGCCGCT